CCTTCTGTTTCAAGAAATTCTCATTCCTACTTGAGGAAACTAGATCTCAGGTTAAGCAAGCAGTTCTAGTGAAGAATAGAGCCAGAATTCAATGTGGGCCATAAGACAACAGTATGCAAGAGTAACTAATCATTCCTGAGATACAAGACTTAAAACTAAAACAGAAAATAGTTATTACCAGGAGCATAAGACATAAAAGAAGCATGGGGAGTCTATATGCTTTTAATTTTAGACAAGTAAACAAATGATTTATATTTATAAACAGCTAAATTCTTCTTTGATCCTGGTGTAATGATGAAAAACGTTCTCATTCTGTAAACAGTGTTTTTCTAACTAATGTTAACAGGATGCTAAAATGGAAGTTTTCACAGGACTAAGATGACACAGACAGCTTCAATAGGACATAAAAGAGCTTAAAAATTTCAGCAAGTATAGTTAAATAAAATGGAAAGCACAGAATAGCTGCTCATCAAGGAATAATTGCTTTAAAACTCGCCTTCCCAGCACAAACAACAAGAACACTCAAGAACATTCATCAGAGAAACAACTGTCTATAGACCCCGAGCAACAGGCAGCATAGGACCGAGGCCTCAGAGAAAGAAAGCCCAATCCATACCTGGGCTTTCTCACTGACTACAAGCAATTTCTGGACTGCAATGCAGAGCAGGAGAAGCCAGTCTCTGAGTTGACTAGGGAAGAGCTACACATTGGAAAAAACCTCTAGAAATCTACATGAGATTCTTTTAGTCTTTGTCTGATCACTAATCTGGTGGGTAAAATTCCACAAGGACCAGCACAGAACAATAGCTGTGGAACGAAAAATTACGATAGCAACAAACAATTCCCAGAGGTCACAGATGGTTGGGACTCACTGGAGCTCCCAAAAGCCAAAGGAGAGTCTTCTCTGGGTATTTAGGACATTCATTTGAGATCCTTTCAGAGGATAAACTAGGTCACAACTATTTTATTAAGAATGCTAAGATGTTATGTGCCCTTTTCAGAAAAATTCTGTTATGGTTACAGGGTGGAGTTCTCCAGAGGCTGCCTGCCATAGGACATTGTAAAACATTTCATCAAGAGACAGAAATGAGACACCAGCTGTCTTAGGGTCATACATCAAAGAGGTTCACAACAAAATGTAAAGCAAGCACTCCTTTCTCATTTTTTTTTAAAGATTTGTTTATTTATTTGAAAGGCAGAGTTATAGAGAGGGAGACACACACACACACACACACACACACACAAGGTGTCGGAGGGGTCTTCTATCCACTGTTTCACTCATCAAATGGCTGCAATGGCTGGGCAAGGAAGAAGTCAGGAGCTCAGAATTCCACCTAAGTCACCCAGGTAGGTGTCAGTCATTGAAGTATTTGTGCCATCATCCACTGCTTTCTCAGGCACATTAGCAGGGAGCGAGATCAGAAGTAGAGCAGCAGGGCTGGCACTGTGATGTAGCAGGTAAACCCACTGCTTGCAGTGCTGGTATCCCATATGGGCACCAGTTTGTGTCCCAGCTGCTCCACTTCTGAACCAGCTCTCTGCTATGGCCTAGGAAAGCAGCAGAAGATGGCCCAAGTCTTTGGGCCCTGCACCCACATGGGAGACCTGGAAGAAGTTCCTGGCTCTTGGCTTCGGATCAGCACAGCCCCAGGCATTGCAGCCACTTGGGGAGTGAACCAGCAGCTGGAAGACTTCTCTCTCTCTCTTTCTCTGCCTCTGCCTCTGTTATGCTGCCTTTCAAATAAATAAATTGTTAAAAAAAAAAAAAAAGGAAAAAGGAAAAAGAAGTGGAGCAGCCAGAAGTAAAAACTGGTGCCGAAATTTGCCCATTTGGAATGCTGGTATTGCAGGCAGCAGCTTAACCCACAGTGCCACAATGTCAGCCCTGCTATTTTTAATTTGAGAAGAGACAGTTATTTTTCATAAAACTGTTATTTATGGGGTAGTTACTGTTTATTTTCAGTGAATAAATACTTTAAAATGTCTCATCTATAATTCTAATATGATAAATTATGATAGGAAAAAAATTAAAAGATCTTTGGAGTCCTCAATAAAATTGTCTCTTTTTTGGGGAGAAGTATTTATCTATTTAATAGGTAAAAGTTTTTAAATGTGTTCTATTCAGATTTTTATAAAGATTATTTCTTTGTAAATCTTCTGCATGACTGGCAGAACAGCATATTCCTCTGAAGAAAACAGAAAAATAAAAGTTTTGCAAATACAAGTAAATATTCAATACAGGAATCTTGTGTGAAACTTCAATTGTTAATGTGCTGATTCCTGAATTTACATATATTTCATATTTTAAAATGTTTGTAATGTTTAAAGCTACTTAACAAAATAGAATGAGGAACCTTTAGCAAGTGAAGAATAATTTATTTTATTTTGACATTATCAGAATTACTGCCCACAGAGCTACAAATTAGCTTAGAAGGTCACATAATCTAATTACCATCTGCATCAAGTAGATACCCAATTTTAATTTTTTTCTGACCATTAACTCACTACTGTAATGAAATAGCTGAATTCTCTTTGATCAATTCTCATTTTTAAAAAGTTTCCTTATACACAGTCATAATTGATTTTTGAGTAGCTCTCAACTTTTGGACGAAGTTTTTTCTTAATAAAGTTACACAAAAGGAATCTAATCCCTCCCTGGAGTATAAAATATTCAAATTGTGGAAAGAAAGCTACCATGGCCCCCCAAAGTCTTCAGCAGACTATGTGTTCCACAATTTTGTATTTTATGGCTTGATCTCAAACCCATACCATTCTACCCTCTCTCTTCTGAACACATTCTAACTTTGTTTCCCAGTATTCAGAGAAGCCAATATGGAACCTGACACACCAGAAGGTCTTCATAGGTCCCATGCCTCCATTATCTCATGCCAGGATCCTCTCAGGTCTGTGGCAGCCACATTACACTAGCAACTCAGATTAAACTTTCTGGCGACTTAACCCACTTCCACTCTCCTGGCTTTGTTCTCGCCCAGCTTGAGTGTGTTCTTCCCTGGGAGTGCAGGGGTGCAGATGAATAGATTTCCCATAGCAGGGTATTCAGAAATTTAACAAAAAAGATGAATTATGGCCGGCGCCGTGGCTCACTAGGCTAATCCTCTGCCTTGCAGCGCCGGTACACCGGGCTCTAGTCCCGGTCGGGGTGCTGGATTCTGTCCCGGTTGCCCCTCTTCCAGGCCAGCTCTCTGCTGTGGCCAGGGAGTGCAGTGGAGGATGGCCCAAGTGCTTGGGCCCTGCACCCCATGGGAGACCAGGATAAGTACCTGGCTTCTGCCATTGGATCAGCGTGGTGCACCGGCCGCAGAGCGCCGGCCGCGGTGGCCATTGGAGGGTGAACCAACGGCAAAAAGGAAGACCTTTCTCTCTGTCTCTCTCTCTCACTGTCCACTCTGCCTGTCAAAAAAAAAAAAAAAAAAAAGATGAATTATCCCAGAGGGGTGAGATACTATATTGATAACTTACTCCGAAATGACTGAGAGGGAAAAAGTTATACTGTATTTGCAACTTTTCTAAAACAATTATTTAAAATATGTTCCTCAAAGCATTGGACTTCTCTGGTAAAGGCACAGGCTGAGTTAAGTGGGGAGGGCCCTGAGTCCTTGACCGTTCTAGTAAGAACAGCTGTACCTTTGTGGAGAAGCTGCCCAGGGTACTGATAACAAACCCAGCCTTCAAAGTCAAACCTGCTGAAATCAAAACTAAGCTCCATAAATGCATGGTGTACGATCTGAGTAAATAAGTTAAACTTTTGAAATTTCAATATGAAAACAATTACAGAACCCACAATCTAGAAAATTGTTACAAGATTTAAAAAATGATATACTCTCTAGAATCTGTGTCTGTCTCTCTGTCTTTCAAATAAAAATGGAAATAAATTTTAAAAAATCTAATAAAGGAAAGTGTAGGCATTTGGTGCAGCCGTTAAGTCACTTCTTAGGATGCCTGTATCCCATACTGGAGTGCCTGGTTTGAGTCCCAGCTCCTCCACTGCCGAGCCAGTTGCACCCTGGAAGGCAGCAGATGATGGCTCCTGCCACCACATGGGAGACACAGATTGAGATTCAGGCTCCTGGTTTTACCCTGCCCTTGGCTGTTGCAGGCATTTGGAAAGTAAACCAGCAAATGAAAGATTTCTTTTGGTGTCTGTCTGTCTCTCTCTGGTATCTTAAGCCTTATAAAAAAAGCGTTCACTCCTCTTAATACTTCCGGTCTAAACATATTTAACATTCTAGGATAGGAGTTGGCATACTATGGCCTAAGGATCAAATCCTGCCCACCATCTAAATTTTTGTAAAATAAATTCTGTCACTTATGCACTGTATACAGCTGCTTTAATGGTATAGCAGCAGAATTGAGTTACTGCAACAGAGACCAGATGGCCCACAAGTTTTGAAATATTTACTATCTGGCCTTTAGGAAAATAAAAGCAAGCAATTAAAAATACAAGGCTGCAGGATGTTAAAACAGATGATATAAATGGCACAAGATAACCAAAGTTAACTGGTTTCCATCTATGTCCATTATTTCAAAGCACTTAATAAATATATGGCTACTTTTCTTTCCCCCAAAAGTAAGCATTTTTAAAACTAAAAATGCCCTGAGGTGTTCTAAGTCAAAATCATTTTTCCAAATACAAATAGGTGAAGTTATACGAATACTCTATAAAGAACTTATTATTGTTCCTCCAGATTTACTTAAGGCAATACATTGAGCCACAGCCAAGCAAACCAATATTTTTTAACTCATAAAAATTATTTTGAAAATTGTATTTGAAAAACATGCACATAAAAGAAACTGCAAGATACTGTAAGAAATTTATAAAGGTTAAGACAGAGTCAAATTAAGATGCTTGCAATAACCTCTATGACTTAACAGTTTATACACAAAAGATATTAATTTTTATTCTTTTTTAAATTTTATGTAAATAAAATAGGTTCCCTTGTTCTTCTATATTCCACACTGAAAAATTTTAAAAGTGTTACCTGAATTGGATGTTCACTAAATGAGGCTGGGAGCCGTCTGATTGCCAGTAAGTTTCAAGATTGTCATCTCTTAACTGATCCACTCCAAATCCTACAACACCAAGAAATGGCAATAAATTCCCATGAAAAACAAAGAGCTCTACATTCAAGCCATACAAGTACTTACATATTTGTCCAGAAATTTCGATAAACAAGACGGTCATAAATGTGATAAATTTAAACTACCTAGAATTCTTCTATCCTTTTAGGCAAATTTCAGCTCTCAAACACCTGCACACACAAAACCTTATGAGGATGAGATTTTGGTGGTTGTTGACATCAAAAAAGAAGAAAAACTCTCCTGTGACATACTCTAAAATTGGTATGTATTCAATTCAGTTTCTTAACCTTCTTACAAGTTGAAGGATGACTGTCAAGTCCTACAAAATCCTCAAAATGAACAGAATCTAGTAAGTTCAGTATGTCATACTAACTGTGACAAGGAAAAAAACTTTGGAAATTTTCAAAAGGCATAGATACTTTGAAACCAAGTGCTTCTGATTAAAATTCTGATTTTTAAAAAGTATTTATTTATTTATTTAGAAAGAGTTATAGAGAGACAAGGAGAAATCTTCCATCTGATTGTTCACTACCCAGATGGCTGCAATCACCAGCACTGGGCCAGGCCAAAGCCAAGAGCCTGAAGCTTCATCCAGGTCTCCCACATGGGCAGCAGAGGCCCAAATACTCGGGCCATCTTCTGCTGCTTTTCCCAGCCCATTAGCAGGGAGCTGGATCAAAAGCGGAGCAACAGCCAGCATTGTGGCGTAGTGGGCTAAGCCTCTACCTGCAGTGCTGGCATGCCATATGGGTGCCAGTTCATATCCCAGCTGCCCTTTTTCCAATCGAGCTCTCCGCTATGGTCTGGGAAAGCAGCACAGATGGCCAAAGTACTTCAGCCCACGTACCCATGTGGGAGACCCGGAAGAAGCTTCTGGCTCCTGGCTTTGGATCAGCCCAGATCCGGCCATTGTGGCCATTTGGGGAATAAAGCAGAGGATGGAATACCTTTCTCTCTGTCTCTCCCTCTCTCTGCCTATAACTCTACCTCTCAAATTAAAAAAAAAAAAAGTAGAGCAGCCAGGACACGAACCAGCACTCATATGGGATTGTGGTAACACAGGCAGCAGCTTTACTTGCCATGCCACAACCACTGGCTCCAAAATTCTGATTAATCAAAATTAAATTTACACCAGAAGTCCATACCTTCCAGCCATTGTAGATAACTGAAGTTGAATTATACTGTTTTTTCCAGGCTAAAATGACAATTCATATTAATTCTAGAAATGAGCCTGATCTAATGGTAAAGGGTAGATTTTTCAAAAGAAGGCAAGAAACTGATTGAATTTACATTTCTGGTGACTAAATGATATATTAATTATGGATCCTATTCAAAAGACACAAAAAGAGAATAAGTCTCTATTCCCCATCATCTTGTTGCTCTCTGCAAATGTAAACAAATTTATTGGTTTCACCTGTATCTTTTCAGATACTATATGTACGTATATTTCAGGTCTAATAGGATTTCTTTCCCCAAAACTCATGCAGATGTTTGAACTGTGATGCCTTAATGTTGATGGCTAATAGATTCAGGGTGGAGACTTGATCTAATTACAGTAACCACCAGGCAGGTCTGCCTGGGAAGTACTTAGATTATTAAGTGGGTGTCCTTGATGAGCGGTTCTCCAAAGAGGGTTAGTCATTTTTTTGTTTAAAGATTTATTTATTTATTTGAAAGGCAGAGTTACATAGAGGAGAGGCAGAGAGAGAGAGAGAGGTCTTCCATCCAATGGTTCACTCCCTAAGTAGCCGCAATGGTTGGAGCTGCACCGATTCGAAACCATGAGCTTCTTCCAGGTCTCCTGTGCAGGTGCAGGGGCCAAGGACTTGGGCCATCTTCCACTGCTTTCCCAGGCCATAGCACAAAGCTGGATCGGAAGTGGAGTAGCCAGGACTCGAACCAGAGCCCATATGCAATGCTGGCACTGCAGGTAGTGGCTTTACCCACTATGCCATAGTGCCAGCCCCAGTTAGTCATTCTGAGTTGAAATTCTGCCTAGCTCTCTGCTTCCCGGCTCAGCATGCAATTGCTCCTCCACACCTGCCATGGGCAGCCTCCACAGGTGCCACATGATCCTAAACTGTAACCTCCAAACTGTAAGCTAAAATAAACCTTTTACATCTCAAGCATGTCCTGTCAGGTATTTTGGTTAAAGTATTGCAAAGGTGACTACCATATAATATACAGAAGCAGGCACATAGGAATCCTTTCTCCCCCTTCATTACACAAACAACAGCACACTCTCCATAGTTCTGCACTTCGGTGGTTTCCTTTTTTCACTTCATCCATCTGGAAGGTTATTCCATATCAACAAATTAACAGCACAACAATAAAAATAGCAAATAATGATAACACATTTACTGTATGCCAGGTATATTTCATGCAACTGTTGAAGAACACAGGTTTTTTAAAATTCTTAATGAAATAAACAAGAAGCAAAATCTCAAATTCATACTAAAAATTCCAACTCCACTCAACAGGAATTAAGTCTGTATTTGATTTGTAGAGGGAAGTCCCAGTCTCCTGTTCCTGTCCAGTGCATGCCAAACCCACTCTCACACCTACACTCCTTCAGGCCCTACCAGGATACCATCTGCAGGAGGATGCTAGATTAATCATTCTGCCCGTGGAGCTGGAGTAAACTAGCTCAGAGTACTAACCTAAGAGGCTCTACCTGAGTACATACTAGCCTGATTTCCATACCCGTGTCTCACCACCGGCCCTCCGATCCTGATAGGCACAGTAGAACTTGTGGTTTAGGCATAGCCAAGCATCAACAAGTCAGACCTCAGAGTCCTTCTTGGGCATGAGGAGCAATCCCTACCACAGAACATCCAACTTCCGTCAACACAGGAGACCAGTTACATCCACGTAACACACTTAACTTTACAGCTAATTTCTCCTTCACAGTGTTTAAACATAACCACCTTTATAAGCCCAGCATGAAGGAATTTCAAAGACAATGTATATCAAATTAAAAAATAATTTTATTCAAACACATTCAAATAATTTTTGCTTTTTAATTTACACATATGTAAATATTTCTCCCCAAAAGACTGGCTCTTCGGCCTGGGGCATATAGTTTTGGAAAAAAGGGAGGAATGGGGAAGGGTTGGAGAGAACTCTGAGAATAAAATATCATCTGAAAGTATGGCTCATTAGACTGGACTTCCTAACATAGATTAGGGGTGATCTTCCCTACACGGATCCCAGACAAGGAAGAAAAGCAACACAGGAAAGTATCTTAGTTAGCTTCCCTGGGGAGGGACTGGCCAAAATCAGTGACTGGGGGTGATACTGGCCTAGTATGAAGCTTGTAAAAGTGGAATATAGAGCCCCACAGCTGGGATAAAGCAGGTAACTAAGGCATGTGGAGCACCAAAGAGGAAAGGCTGTGCTGTTAGCCCGACAGCTCAGGGTGTTGGTCACTACGTTGAACCCAAATCCAAAAGGACTCGGGTTGCCCAGGACCTTGCACACATCGCTGACACCAAAGCCAAAAGCGCTCATTGCTGTCAGGGGGCTGGTCACACCGTTGACCCCACAGCCAAAAACAGTCATGTTGCTCGGGTCACTGAAATCAAAGCCAAAAACAGCCTTGGTTGACAAGGGGCTGGTCACATCGCTGATACCAAATCCAAAAGTAGGTTTTCTTTTCAGGGCACTGGTCATATTGCTGACACCAAAGCCAAAAAGAGTCTTTGCTTGTACTCGTAGTTGTGGCAGAGGCAGCTGCACGGGAGGCAAGAGCCTGGCTAGACAACGCTGGAGCAGTTGAGGCTGGAGCCTGGCTAGCGGAGGATGCAGCAGTTGAGGCAGGAGCCTGGATCATGGAGACGGGAGCAGTTGAGGCTGGTGTGGTTGTTGATGCAGTGGTCCACTTGACGTGTTTGGCCAAGTGCACAGGTGCCGCCTTTAAACTTGTCATCATGGTGGCAGAGCTGGAAGAAGTTGGAGTTGTGAGTATGGGGCCAGATGGCAAAGGGCCTGCACTCTCACTTCCAGATGTGGTGGTACACATGGTCTTGAGCACAGCTGCTGTCAAGTTCTCAGGAGCAGCACCACCAGGGCAGACAGTGTCAGGAGGTGGGGTGCGTGGCTTGTCCAGCAGCATCCGTGGTGAGGAGGTAGGGAGCGGGCCCTGTGGCGTGGCGACTTTGGCAGATGTCTCAGCCCGGAGGGCTGGCGGGGACTTGGTGTCACTGACCAGTATCACAGCAGGAGCAGCGATCAGTCCCACACAAGGGGCTGCGGGCTTGAGGCCTAAAGAGTTGGCGGGAAGATGCTGTGGCCGTGAAGAGTCAACAGGGCCCATTAGGCGGGCTATCTTCGCAGGCGAAGGGGCCACCGTCGCTGCTACTCCAGCATATTCTGGGAAGGCTGGAAACCGCCGAGCAGTCTGCCTCTATCGGGCCCCAGAAGGCAGCTGATGAGGGCGCAGTGCTGGCTGCAGGCAGCGGGAGCGCGCTGGGAGGCTGAGTGCGGGGTGGGCTCCCGGGGGCAGACTCTTGGGCAGCATCCATCCTGTGCTCCAAGAACTGGTTAAGCCACCGAGATGAACCTCTCGTTGCCATGTCACCATCTTCCAGAGTGACAGGATAGCCCAGCCGGGGCGCGGGAGGCAGAGTGCCCAGGTCCCCTCCCCCAGAAAGCTGCTCAGGAAACTTCCTTTTATGCGGCCAGGAGCCGCCAGGTGTAGGTGGGGAATTCCGCAAGCCTGGTTTCTCTGCGGCTGCACCTACCGCTCTTCCTCTCTGGGACTCCCTGTCTGTCACCAAGGGAGGTGAGGTACTGGAGCGAGGCCCCAGCGCCTCCTCCCCACTCACCTTTGCTGGCCTCTCTGGTATTTTGGAGCAGGAGGCGGCCGGCCCGCAGAAGGCACTCGACGTGGGCCGGCCCCGCTTCCTCGGCCGCAACAGGCCGCCAGTGGAGCTGTAGGAGCTGCTAATGGCGTTGCGGACGGGCACAGGGATGCCAGCCGTGGTGGAGCT